ACCACTAGAACATCCTACTGTCCTCTTTAATGTAGATGGAGGATTATGATGTAGCAACTATAGCACTCACCAGACCTTCATTCATCTCAATTTCCATTGAGAAGATAGTTGGATCATGCCCACTGGCCCTGAAAATGCACGCTCAAGGTAAAGAGCCCACATGAAGACAAAGCTTATGCATGTAGGCTCTGTCCTCACTACTGGAGACCCTTGAATAGAGTCCCAGATTGTGCACACAGACTTTACACATGTAGGCTATTTCAAGCATTACACTGAATGCATGGAGACAGGTGGGACAAGGGAACATCCGTGTGTGTGATCCCATTCCCTTCATTCAGAATAATGTCTGGAAAATACTTATCTTCCACTCAATATTTGTGATCGTTTTTGACATAGTTCATGGAAGAAACTGTATTTTTTTAGCAATGAAATCTAATCAATAGGTGATGCAATATCTCTGTGCATGAGGAACCAAAACTCTTGGTATTCAACATGGCTAATGTTCATGAATTTCAGTAGGTCTACTCTGAGAAATACTCAGCTGAATACCACTCAATGGCCCTCCAACTCCCACCAGTCCTAGCCAGCATGGGCAATGGTTGGGAATGATGGGACCTAGAATCCAGCAATATCTGAAGAAACAAATATTCCCTATTCCTGTTATAAACAAAACAGCCCCTGCTAACTTGAGAAAAGATTTTAGCAATGGTGTAATTATTCAACAACATTGTATGGAAAGAAATGAAAGCTGTGACTTTGCTATAGCCAGAAATATCCTAGTTTTGCTTACTAGGATCCAATCCTTCCGTCAGTTACATGTGCATAAATCTAATTGGTTTTCAGGCATGGGCAAACTTGGCCCTCCAGATGTTTGGGGACTACAATTCCCATCATCCCTGACCACTGGTCCTGTTAGCTAGGAATGATGGGAGTTGTAGTCGCAAAATATCTGGAGGACCAAGCTTGGCCATGCCTGGTTTACGTAGTCTTCTCAGATAAGCATTGCATTGTGTCAGCTCACAGATCTCAGATGTGGCAAGCCACAGTTTCAAAAGTTACAAAAAGCACTTTCTCCCATGCCTCCAGTAATTTCAGCTCCACAAAATGCAGTCTGAATATTCTGCTGTTCCAACCCCTTTCCCTTTATGACATGCCTCCCATGCACTTTTAGCGGTGCACAGTGATTTATGCACAGGAAATGGAGAATATGACATCTTGTTTGTGTGTTTATGTGTATGTAATATCTTTAATATGAAACTAGTTGCCACTTAATTCTAAAGGGCAAAGACCTTCATTCAGTGTGTGTTGTGTACAATTTATGAGTCTCCGTTTTCCCAGACACATATCACAGCCCCAGTGCAACACCCGGGTGACTAGCATTCCTTTTTAATTTAATTTCCTTTCATAAATAGTTTCATTAAAGATCAGTTATTCAGGCTGAGAAAACATTATGTGAGTATGGAACGTCTGAGGGCTCATTCACAGTTTGTGGCTTACCCCTAAATAATGGGGTCTATCACTCACTATTAGCTGAAGTGTGAACACAGCCACTCAGAGGCAACTGATGCTTTAATCCTTAGCGATTTACACCTTAGCAATGTGATATGATGGAGTAAAATCTGCTACCCGCATATTTTTTTTGAGAACGAGATGTGGAAGCCTGTTCTCCTCTTCCATTCCCCAGCATTTTATTTGTCTTGCCATTGTTCATTTGTTTAAGAGTTTAAATATTTTAAAGGTTGTTTTCACCACAGCAGTCCTGCCACCACCATGCCACTCCTCCCCTTTGTGATGCTACAGCGACTCAGCTGGATGGTGATCAGGTGAGTGGTGCAGTCTTGCCACACTGTCCACTGCTGCCAGCATTGCCTCCCTTTTTCAAATAATGCAAAAGCTTGTATGACTTCCTTGTCTCCTCCTCCGCATCTGCAAACATCCTCTGTAAGATTCAGCATTTCTGTAGCTGTCACTTAAATTCTACGGTTGTGTTACTGCTACCTGTATTTGAAGGTTTTTGCACCCATGTTTGTTGACAGCAGAGTTCTAACTGTTTTGTTCTGCGGTATGGCGCTGTGGGTTAAACCACAGAGCCTAGGACTTGCCGATCAGAAGGTCGGCGGTTCGAATCCCCGCGACGGGTGAGCTCCCGTTGCTCGGTCCCTGCTCCTGCCAACCTAGCAATTCGAAAGCATGTCAAAGTGCCAGTAGATAAACAGGTACCGCTCCAGCGGGAAAGTAAACGGCGTTTCCATGTGCTGCTCTGGTTTGCCAGAAGCGGCTTAGTCATGCTGGCCACATGACCCGGAAGCTGTACGCCGGGTCCCTCTGCCAATAAAGCGAGATGAGTGCCGCAACCCCAGAGTCAGTCACGACTGGACCTAGTGGTCTGGGGTCCCTTTACATTTTTATGTAGTAGTAGTAGTAGTAGTAGTTGCTGCTGCTGCTTATTATTATTATTATTATTATTATTATTATTATTAATGCCCCACTCATCTGGCTGGGTTTCCCCAGCCACTCTGAGCGGCTCCCAACAGAATGATGATGATGATGATGATGATGATGATGATGTTATGATAAAATACCCTGCCTTTCCCCCAGTTTGGGGCTCAAAGAGTATCATATTATCTTTTCCTTTGGGAATAATTAATTGCAGGCCTCTCTCAGTAGTCTTTCTGTTATCTACATACTGAAGAACAAAATCAATACATTTCACTTTAAATCACTTGTGGACATAATACTGATGTCACCTTAAACAGAGTTATTTCTCAAATGCCTTAAAGTTATTCCTTCCTTTGCCAACCTGCTGCCCTCCAGATGTTCTGGACTGCAGCATTCATCAACCCCAAGCAATACAGCTGTATGATGCTGGGAGCTGATGGGAGTTGTATTCAGAAACCTCTTGAGAACGCCAGGCTGGCCAAGGCTGGCCTAAGGAATCAGAAACACTGACAATGGGAATATGAACATGTGCTGATGGCTTGATGTTTCTAAACTTTCTGTGTGAGCTCATTTCTACCTATATTGCAGGCACTCAATATTTGAGGATTAGTTCTAAATGCCGATGCTCTGGTTACATTAAGCAGGATAAAATTTATAAGAGATATAAACTTTCATGTACCTCTTGGGCATAAACCAATGACTAAATTTCTGGGGTTAGAAGGAACTTTGCACCCTGGGGCATATTATAGTGTGATTCACTGTTCGGCTTTTACCACTGTGGCAAGAGTTCTGTGCAAAGACTTGCACACTGGGAAACATTTTACAAGCAAGTTTGGTAGGCTACATAATTTTCAGCAATTGTAGGTGTGCGAGAGCTACAAGGAACTCTTCGTATGTTACACTGAATGTGTGCATAGAAGAGAGAGGGGAATCATGCTCATTGACCCCACCCAGTACATGTATATGGTGTAATCCAGCCTTCCTCAAGCTGATGCCCACCTTCCTTAAGGCTACAGCTCCCATCAGCCCAGACAGCAGTCCAACCATTGCTGGTCAGGGATGTCCAAAACAACTGGAGGGCACCTGGTATAGAGGAAGGTGGGCATAACCTATGAAGGAGAACCTTGAACAGGCATGAGCTCTGTTTGAGATCATGCTCATACACTCCCACAGGTAGTGCTGAATGCACATGGGGGCAGGAGCATGGCTGATGGGTAAGAATCCCGCTATCTGTGCTATATGCATTCAAGAAAACATGTGATAACTCCTAGATGAAAACCTCCAGATGAAAATTTCTAAATGAATATGTTTGTTTTCCCAAAACGCTTTAAAGTGTTTTTCAAGCCTCTGCTGGTAAATATTAGTCTCCTATAACAGCGTTTTTGAGTTTTAAGTCTCAGCAACTCGTGCTGTTTCCAACGGCCTTGCTCCATTGGCACAAGGATTTACTCTTCCACAGTAGAACTTCTTCCCCTGTGTTCTTCCCAAGTCTGGTCTGGAAGGTTGGGGTACCCCTAGAACAAATTTAGGGGAAGAAGGCGGAAGTTCTGTTGTGCAGGAATAAATCCTTGTGCTAATGGGATAGGAGACTTGGTGCTGCTTTAGATAGAAGGCCTCATATCTGGTTTTGAAAACAAATTGTTCATTGTGGAAGGTTTCATTTGAGAAATGGAAGAACAGGAGCCAGCTACAGATGTGTAGAGCTGGAAATGGTCAAGTGGGGAGGAAGGCAAATAGAATTCTTTCCTTAAAAGTGCTGGTGCTATTGGATGTATTTATTCATATGACTCAAAGTAAATAGTGCCACAGCTTATTGAAGTAAATTATTAGAAAAAGCAAGGCCTTGTGAAGGGCAACCAAAGAGTAGAACCTGGAATGTCCTGGCTATAGAAATCTCTGGGTTGTGCATGTGTGTGTTTTGGAGTAGGTCAGATTCAAATACTATAGAAGATGAAGTTGCTATTTATTTACCAGGAGGAATGTTTAGCATATCTTGCATCAATATTCAGCTTCACCTTCCTGTCTTCTCTTGTTTACTCCAGTTTTATGTCCAGGGCAATCATTTATCCGCTAACAAATCTATTTTAGCACTGAGAAGCTCTTGGCAATTTGTCTTCCTCCCTCTTTTTCTCTTATTACACAATCCCTTCTTGTGCATTCAATAATCCTCAAAGCGCAGGGCTATTCTTCCGTCTGGTTTGTGGTTCGGAAGGAAATGAGTGATTGGCAGTGGGCATAAATGCTTATGGTGTTAAGTCTTTAATATGTCACCAGCTTTAATTTGTCCCATTCAGACCGTTGGGGCATATGCCAGACACAGGGACAGAATATTACCCTACTGCGTTCTGTGCTAATCAGAGCTAGTGACACGCTTTCATTATGGCAGTTTGCACAGCCTCAGGGCATGGAACAAAATGAAGGCTATCCTATAAATAAACACAGAAGAATGCAAATTTCTCTGTAGAGCTGTGATCATGCTTCTCTGATGGTCAAGAAGGAGATCTATCTGTCAGATTTTGCAGTGTTAATTACATTACACTCTTTCCCATGCCCTTTCAAGTCATTCAAATCCCTCTCCCTCCTCCTCCTCCTCTCTCTCTCTCTCTCTCTCTCTCACACACACACACACAGAGAGAGAGAGAGAGAGAGAGAGAGAGAAAGAAAAAGATTGCACCATTCAAATCTCCACTCATCCATGTAACTCAGTGTGTGACTGGTGCCAGTTACCATCTTTCATCCTAATGTACTTCACATTACATGTAGTGAGAATAAAATGGAAAGAAGGGGAGCTATGTATGACATCTTGAGCTCCTAGGAGGAAAGATGGGAGATAAACATAAAAATAAGAATAACTGTTCCAAAGTACAACAAAAATGCTACTATTGGCACAAGTCCTCAAGAGTCTTGCAGCATCATTTCTCGGTATGATGTCACCACCATGTCATGGTTCTCGTCATGCTGCTGTCACTGACTGAAAGTAAATAGGGCATAGTTTAAAATAAACCCTCAATTTATTCAAGCAAGAGCAAATTGTATCTAAATGATATATATAAGCCAGATACCTTCAGTCCTGTGTGGAATATTATGAAAATTTCATGCAGCTCTTTCTTATGAATGACATTCATTCATTTTTTTCACCATTTCCAATGAAAGAGTCACTTAAAAGTGTGCTAGGAGAGCAGATGATTTATAATGCTCAAGATACTGATCTCTAGGCATCATAATAGCCCCCTTCCCCTTGGTTAGCGGCAAACTCCATCATGTGTCACTTTGTAGCTCTGCCCAGAGTGCTACTGTATAAAGAACCATTACATTGGGAAAGTTGTAACAGAGTTAATACGCTTGAATGAAAATGCACAGTGTATAGGCTTAGCTTGTTAGGGACAACATAAATAAGTGCAAACTGATGCACACTGCATAAATAAAAAAATCAATATTTACTAGTGGAATCTATATTGCACATTGGGGCGGGGTATGCACACATACATGTAAATGTGTGGAGTCAGTGCCAACCAACCATTTCCAAAAGAATATCTGAGCACTCGAGAATATACAGGAAAGGTCTACTAAGACTGATTGGTGGTTAGAATATTTTGTCCACAAAGAGTCTGGAGCTTTGAGATATGGAAGGAAGGAAAAACTAGGAATGCAAGTAACATAATAAAAAACCATGAATCATATGCAGAGACTGAAAAGATAAGCAATTTTCTCCCAAAGCACTGTGGAATTTATCCAGGAGGACTGATAAGGAGATAATTCAAAAGAAACAGAAATAAGTAATTTTCGCTTAACACTAGAGTATTTGCTCATTTCCACAACCATCAGAACCTCTCTCTAAGCCAGCTATTGCCAACCTGGTGCCCTCTAAAAGTTATGGACTACACCTGTGCTGTCTTAGTCCGATGGGGGTTGTAATCCGGATTGGTGGAGGCTACAAGCCCTCCTAAAATGACACAAAGAGAAACTTATTTGAAACAAAGCAGTATTTCATCCTGAAACATGGTTGTTACAAAGGTAGAATCTGAGGTGCAACTCCCCCCCCCCCATCCAGTGGGGAGTATTACTGGACCTATGCCAACGTCAAATCTGGCACTTCTCTTTGTTTTTCTTAAATAATGTGGTGGGAAAGCAAATTGTCAGCAGTAAACATTGTTTCATTGAAAGCATATTTGCCAAGTACATAGCTTTTTCTGGCCTTTTAAAACAAAGCTATGAGGTCCAAGGAAACAAATCAGGTGTTTTCCACCTTATTAAAAGGTATCAAAATATTTAGAGTTACAGTACAATTCAAGCTTTATTCCTCTGTGAAATCTGGCAACAGAGTTTGCCAATGCTTCTAAGCCTACTTAGGACAATGTCATATTTAGCATGTGAGGAAGTGAAGTCATTGGTGACATTATTTTAACAGGCAGGAAACATCTGAATTCATCTTTTTAACTTTTCATTGCTCCACTGAGGCTAGGTGACAAATAGTGAATTGCAGCTTTGAAATCACAGCAGGATGGGGAAATGGAAGATGTTTTGATTATTAAGTATTAATCCTATTTTTAAATAAATAAATAAATAAATCCCACCTTCAGTTATATCCATTAACTTTCCTTATCATTTTTTTTTAAAATGTAAATGTAATGGCTCTACAAAATAATTGTCAAAGTCAGGATAGATCCCAGTCTCCTCAAAGTAACATGTTATTTTTCATGTCGGCATGTAATGAAAATTGTTGGAAGAGCATGTGCAGAATTTTAATGAAAACAATTCAATGGAAAAATCCAAAACGTTGCTTTTGTATTTTGTCATTTTATTAGAAACTTTGCAAGGTTTGGTGAAAGTGCTCTTCCTTTCTTCTCACTCTTTTCATATCTGTCAAACAATGATTTGGCCCTTCTTTAAAACGTCCTATTCTTTTCCTCCCTCTGCATATGACCCAAAAGGTTTGAAGAAGAATAAGCAGGGAACAGCAAAAATCATTACGGCCTGAAGCAAGGATTTTACTACATAAGTTTTAATTGGAAAAATACTATTAAAATTTGCACCCTCATTGAAACTGGAGCTTGGCAAGCAGAAAGAGTATTGGGCTGTATTTGGGAGAAAGGACTTCTCCCCTCCATTGGCTAGGACTTGAAAGTTAACATCCCTGCTAAAATGAGTGTAAACTGTTGCAGATTAGAGGGACAACAAATTTAAAAAACTCAAAGTGATGGACTAAAATACACAGACTCGTGACATGCAGTTCCACTCCCCACCTGCAAAAGAAAAGGTCTTTTCTAGTTCCAGAAGGAAAGCTAGGAGTGTTGAACTTGGACCTGGGAGACTAGAGTTCAACATTCTACTTGGCCATAAGACTCATTGGGTGCCCTTGAACCAGTCACGGCCTCTCAGCCTATCCTGGGTCATTGTGGGGATTAAATAAGGAGGGGGGAAACCAGGTATGCCAACTTGAGTGCATCAGTGAGGCTAAGAGGGGGTCTTGTCATCTGGGCAGCCCAGGACCTCCACATACACTGCCCAGGCTTGTGCCCTGGGGAGGTCACTTCAGAGGCGCACTCCATCCCCTCTCAAGACGAATGCATTATTTATGTTAATAATAACTAAAACCATTTAATGTAGACATGTGCTGTCATTCCATTGAGTTGGGTCACCAGTGTTGTGTCCTGCAGAGGTCGTTGGACTACAGCTCTAATCAGCCCTAACCATTGGCCATGGTGGCTGGAAGAATTATGGGAGTTGTAGTTCCAATGAGACCTGGAGGATCACCACATTGGTTATCCCTGCCATAGAACTTAATGCAATGGACAATACAGCTCTCACCCCCTCCCCCCGCTCCCTATATTTGGAATATCAACTCGACAAGTCTAATATAATCATCGTGTGAACTCATTCTTTTTGTTTAAATTCTAAGCACCTCCCTGTGACACAAATAAGACTTGGGCTTTTAAGAATAATACTGGTTTCCTGTATTACAATTTGTACCATCATATCCTAGGCCTTCCTGTTGGCTTTGACACAGGTCTTGCATTAAGGAGCAGAGTTTTTTGAGTAAAGTGAGCATTTGGAAGGGGAAATGTGTACAAGATGATGCCAGCTGTATGTTGGCTGAAGTTCTAGGGAGTGATATTTCCTGTAAAGTGTTGGCAATGCCAGCTTCTGTGTCACTGAAGCTTGAACTGCGTCAGTATTTCCATTATAAATGTGTTTTTCGGGAGCAAGCAGCTCAGTCATAAAAAGCCACTGTGGAGTGAAGCTTGTTAACAGGGCTGGCTCTGGTTACTAGGCAATCCCAGGCAGTGCCCTGTAGTCCTGGGACATTGGGTGGCCCCTGGAGCAGAGATCCAGCTGTTTCTGATGCTACAAAAAGCACAAACACCAAATTTGTTCCTTGTCTGGTCTGGATGGGGTGGCAGGAGGGGAGGTAGACAGGCAATGGGAATATTGCACAGATGGCTAGAACAGGATCAGGCAATGAGACAAGACAATAGTGCCGTGTGTTCAAAAGTACAGTTAGACCTTTGGGGAGGCTGGGGGGAGCCCAGTTTCTGCTACCAAGTGCTCAAAAGCTTCCCTATTTCCTGGTGGAAGAAGATTGGAAGAAATTTAAAGACTACCTACAGAAATATTGTAAAATTAATGAAGGATAGAATGATGTTGGATAGTAACTAAGTGGTTTCTAGCTGTAATGCTTTAAGAGAATATGAAAAATAGGATTATAAATGGGTTAAAATCTAATGGTAAGGATTTGCTGAACCAATAAATTGAAGTGGAATACAAAAAAGGGAGGTGCGAGGAGGTCGATGAAACAAGTTAATGAAAGACAAAGATATGGAAATATTGGATGTGTTTTTAATTGTTTTTCCTTTTGCTTTTGTTTTGATGTATTGTGTCTTTTCTTTTTTCTCTTTTTATGTTTAGCAATGTATTGATTTGTATTGTTTCTTTTTTCTTTCTTTCTTTCCTTTTTCTGTAATCTTTAAACTTTTAATAAATATTATATATTTTTTTTAAAAAAAAGCTTCCCTATTTCCTGTTGCCACATCAGCTCCCTCCTGCTTGCCTGCCTGCCCCTGCAGCAGCCTTCAAAGTTTGCATGCAAATGAATAATCGTGCCACAACAATTAACGGCACAACAAGAATTATGCAAGTCTATGCACTGTGTGAACAGAGCAGTAATTAGGGGTGTAAGAAGGCAGTGATTTCTGTTCTGACCTGCGCTCATCATAATTAGTGCTGTTTCCATTCCATTGCAGTTCAGTTTCTGCCAAATAATGCATTTTCCATGTTTTACATGAGTTATATCAGTTACATAACTATTTGCGCAACCTATGGAAATTTACATTTATTTCCGTGAAAAGGAAAACACCCTAACAAGGCCTTTATTGTTTGCAGACTTAACCCCCACTCCTCGGTGTTATGAATGAATACCGATCATATACTCTCAACTGATTTTTTGTTCTTGACCACAGACAAAACTTACGAACTGCAGCAGTTTCTCTTTCCTTTTCTGTCTTCATTTGAATTCCTTCTCTGTAATGGCTTAGAGCCAGGATATTATGGTCAGGTGGCTCCATAGCTTGCATTTGGAATGGCTGTGTTGAGTTGTGGTTAGGGCATCAGGTTGAGGTTTGGAAGACTAGAGTGTTGATGCCCCCCACACCACCCCTGCTCTTCTATATCATCTTGTGGAGAT